AACCCCAACCCCAACCCCATTTTAGAGCTAGTGTGTGTGATAGAAGATATTAAAGGGGTATCTGTTGTTTGGCAATTTTGCTAAGTCTGTCTTCATTACTCTGCTGCTGTGCATTTGCTAATTTGGAGGCCCGGCCATTGACAAGCTTGCTCCATACACCTGCAAGCAATTTGCCGGCTCCGGTACCGGAGAATTGCAGAGATGGCAGCTCGCACCTATTTGATTTTTTTTTTTTTTTTTTCCTTTTCTCAATGCACAGCAAATTTGGCTTTCAGTGCGTTATCTCTTTTGTTAATGCAAAAAGATTCCCTGGGCGAAAAAATTGCTCATAATTACCAGAGAGATGGGGAAACTGCATTAGAATAAATAAACCTGAAATTACTGTAATTATGTTGTGTTTGATGGGCCCGGCTTGTAATCAAGAAGAGAATACAGTGAAATGATGCTGACCCTCTTGGGTTTGCAGCTGTACGCGCACTTTGGGGTCTTTTTTTGCAGAAAAGAGTCATTTTGATAATCATTAAGCTGTGTGTAACCTATTTCAGAAGTGTTTTAAAATGAGGTTCACATTTTTTGAACAAGGGGGAAAAAATCCCAAAATTGCATTTTGCCATTACAGACTCATACATAAGGAAAGGTTGTGTTTTCTAAGTGACAATTGTTAAGACATAATATTCGAAATCAGTATTTAATCATTATAATGAGGTATTGTTTAAATATAACCACCTTTAGATTATTCATAGTTTAATTAATATACTCATTATGAAAATCTTTGAATCAGATATTTGATGAACTACTTGTCAGTAACAAGGCAGCATTAATTAGGCCTCTATTGAGATTAACATTTTTTAAAAGTACAACCGCTTGTAATTATAATAGAGCCTAACTAAAGACCGCCTTCGTTGAGCTAAAACTAATAATTTCTCTATTTGAACTGTTAGCAAGAGATTATTAAATTAGTATAAGCTAATATCTCAAAGCAGTACAATCCGCTTGACCATACAGATTTTGCCCGTGGCTTGAGGCGTCGGGCCCTAGCTGTCGTCTGGGGGACCCGAGTCAGATGCGTGAGGGAAATATCCCCACTAGCGAAGACACATCACCCAGGGGAAGCCGAGCCTAGGAAGCCCCCTGCCCCCGCGCCGGAGCCTGGCCTGCAAAATCGGCTCCCTCTCTGGGCCCTGCGGCCGTCGGACAACCACACCCTGGTCTCTGAGGTCGGATCTCCCCCCTTCGCGCTCAGGGCTCTAGGGGCCGCCGGGAGAGGAAACGTCCCCCTTTCGGGCGGGTAAGGGGCCGCGAGGTCCCCGGCTTCGCCCTCCACCGCCTCCCCGGCTTCCGCCATCACCCCGCGCCCCTCCCCCAAGGCCCGCCACTTCCTCCTCCCCTTCCCAAAGGGCGTCGGAAGAGCCCAGCGCATCTGATCTTTCACCAGCACCAATTGAAAAATGGGTGCTTGTCACAACACAGATCACCGCCTTCCGGGCTCTGCTCCCCACCGCGCGCCTGAAAGGGCTCCCCAAAGGTGGAGGACCACCCCCCGCGGGCAGCAGCGTCGGAAGGCGGGTGCGGGAGAAGGAATCGCGCAAAGCAGCCGCGAGGGTCGGGGCCCGCAGTTTTCGCGAGCTGTCTCGTCCGGGCTGCGGGGTCCGGGGTCGGGCTGGCGTGCGGGGCCACGAGGAGAAAGGAACCCATCTGCCTCCAGCCCCTCGGAGTCCGCGTTCTCTGGGACGGACTGACCCGAGCGCTTCGCTGGAGGTGCCCCCGAGGGCCGGGGTGACGTGGGGTGGTGTGCTTGACTCTGACCAGCATTCGGGTTCGGAGTCAGCCACCCTTCCACTGGCACCTCCATTTCTCGGAGGCACAGAGAAAAGTCCAGCTTCATCAGGCAGGAGCCAGCCTTTCTCACCGTGGAGGGGCCAGGGTGGCTCCGCGAGACTGTGCCCTGTCCCCCGGAGCGCACTGATTGATTATGGGGTAGCCTGACAGACGTGTTCTTCCGGCCCCTGCCTGGCGTCTGGCCGCGTCTTTTCCGCGACGGAATCCAGCGCCTCGGGGCCCGCAAAAGCCGGGAGGCCAGATCCGGCTGGAGGCTAGAGGGCGAAGCCGCGTGTCTTTGCTTCCAGGCCTCCAGGAGGCCTCCTGAGAGGCGGCTGGGCGTGGGAAGCACTAAAACCTGCCAGGCCGTCTGACTTTGAACTCTGCCTTCGTCTGTCAGCGGGTCTTCACTGTCCTTTCGGTTCCTGGGCCTCAGCTCTGACCTGCTGCACCTGTTCCTGGGCCCCTTTCCCAGGGATCCCCGCCAGGCACTCTCTCCCCACCCCCAGCTCGGCGAGAGATCAGACACCTGGGGGAACCCAGGACCAAGGAAGAGGAACAGGTCCAGTGGGGTGCCTGCCAGGCCTCTGGCGACATGCTGGTGTGTCTGAGGTCGCGCACCCCACTCTGTCCCCCCGAAGTCACTGCCCCTGCTGCTGCCCGTCTCCAGAGGTGAGAATATGGCTGGGGGGCCCCGCCCCCCCCCCCCCCCCCCACGGCACAGCAGCTCTTTCTCGAAATCATAATTTTACTGTCTCAAAGAAACTTTATAACTTATTTACAAAGTTTTTTTCCCCCAAGATACAAAGCAATAAGTTAACATTCTCAATATAAAACTAAACTTTGACATAGAGAACACAAAACACGGTTGATTTCAATTGATCACATCTTCCAAATTTCACAAGAAAATGTCAAGATTCTCGTTTCACAAAGCATGGGGTTTTACAGCCACACACAACGGAACGCAAAAGGGCTAAGTTTGTGCAACATGTTTACAGAACAATAATAATAACAATAATAATAATAATAATATGTACAGCGAGTAGATCCTGCCCTGGAGACTGTGCATTCAGGGTGGTGACTGGCGCTATTCTGTGGTCGAGCCTCTAGGGATGGCTGTAAAGCTGACTCTGCCTTACTCTAAAGCCCGCTGGAATTGGGGCGTTTGCACATGCCTGCCCGTCTTCTCTCTGCTGCCCACCAGTCCTCTCTCTTTCTACCCAAGGAGGAAATGAGGACGTTCCTTCTGGTCCAGGCAAAGCAACCAAGAGCTCCTCCGGAGATGAGAAATTCGCGTTGGCTTCATTTATCTGTCTTTTCTTTTTTAAAATTTTTTTAAAATAATACGAGACATGTAAAAAAAAAAAAATGCAAACCATTTGGCTCCAAGTTCTCCACACCAGCGAAGTACAAAAGTGACTGTATAAATTAAAAATCACCACGTCCTCATTCGGTTTTTCCCGATGCGTTGAAAGTAAACAGTGCGTTTGAACAGCGTTCCTCGCGCCCCACAGAACCACCAAGTGGGCAAACAGCCTCAGGCGAAGTCCGTTTCTCAATAAATAAAGCCCCCTCCCCTCCAATTTCCCCCAGTCCCCAAACAAGCTACACAGAGGGTCGGGCAAAACGGCCCGGGCTCCGGAGATGGGCGGCCGGGCAGGACCCGCGCCGCGCGGACCTGGTGGCTCTGCAGAGGCCGCAGAAGGAGGACAGCGGACAGACGAGGACTTGACTTTATCAGCTCAAGGACAGAGCAAAAGGAGACAGGAGACGGACAACAGAAAAGAGCTCTTGCTTTTTCTACATTGTTTTGTAGGGTGGTTTTTTTTTTTTCTTTTTCTTTTTCTTTTTCCTGATAGTCCCGCAAAGCTGAGGGTCGGCGGGTCGGGTCGAGCGGGTGTGTGCTGCTGCTCTCGCTTGTCTCAGGTGGCTGTGCCTGCCCTCCGAGGCCACTCTCCGCTGTCGCTGCTCGGCCCGGGCCGGGGTTCTGGCTAGATCGCGGGCGCCGGGAAGTGGCTGGGCCGGACCTGGCAGGGCTCCGGGGAGGCGGAGGCGCGTCCTGCCTTCACTGTTCCTTCTTCCCTCGGGCCCTTCTTTTCCGGACGGGGTGGATGGACCTGGAGGCGGGAGGGGCCCGGGCCAGGGGGGACGGGAAGGAGGCGGCGGAGGCGGGCGGGCAGCCTCACATCAGTTGGGGTTGCTGCATAGCTTCTTGATGCGCCGAAGGGTACCACGACGTGTAGCTGGGAATATAGGAGCCCGCGTTTCCGCCCGAGCCCTTCCCGGACGAGGAGTTAGGGTTCCAGCCCGGCGGCACGGGTGGGGAGCCCGCGGACAGGGCCCGGCCGTTGGCCAGCGCGCTGCCCTCCAGAGCGGCCCCGCCCTGCTTCATCAGCTTCTTGAACTTGGAGCGCTTGTTTTGGAACCAGATCTTGACCTGCAAGAGCGGACAACAGCGTGACTCGGGCTGGGACCACTGAGCCCGCCGAGGCCGCGGGGAGGAAAAGGGGGACCGCAGGACAGCAGCCACAGGAGCCCGAGGAGCAGACCCCCGCCCCCGTCCTGCCCCGATAACCCTTCCCCAATGAGAGCCAGAGGCTCCAAGGCCAGACTGCCCGCCGCCGGCCCACAGGGGCAGCTCTCAGGGAGCCAGGGAGGAGTTGTGGGGAGGGGCACGCGGGGATCCAGGCTCGAGCCTGCCAGGGGCTCAGTCCGACCGCGGCTACCGTCTGCTGCGGAAGACACAGCGCCTGCACAACACCGAGCCAGCCATTCCAATAACATCAATAAAAGAATCCAAAACCTAGGAAGGAGTGGAGGAAATTTATTTGCAATGTCACCCAACCTCTCTTTGCGCCATCCTCTCTGCCCGGGTGTAAGTCGGCGAATGACTAAGGAGGCCTCGCGGTTTTGGCGAACTTTTCTTTGGACTCAAACCAACGTTCCCCCAGGGTCTGCTTGCGC